ACATATATGTTGCTGGATTTGGATTGCTAGTATTTTGTTGAGAATGTTTGCACCTATATTTTTCGGGGATATTGATCTGCAATTTTCTTTTCTTCTGATGTTTTTGTATGGTTTTGTTATCAAGATAATACTGGTCTCATAGAATGAGTTTGGAAGTATACCTTCCTCTTCTAATTTTTTGTAAGAGTGTATGAAGGATTGGTATTAATTCTTCTTTAAATGTGTGGTAAAATTCACCAATGAAGCCATCTGGGCCTAGACTTTTCTTTGTGGGAAGTTTTAAAATTGGTAATTCAATCTCTTTACTTGTTAAAAGTCTATTCTGATTTTTTATTTACTCTTATTGTAGTTGCAGTTGTTTGTATTTTTCTGGAAATTTGTCCATTTCATCTAGGTGATCTAACTTGACAGCCTATGACTGTTCACAGTATTCCCTTGCGATCCTTTTGTTTCTGTGAGGTTATTACTGAGGTTCCCTCTTTTATTCCTGATTTCAGTAATTTGAGTCCTTGCTTTTTTCTTGGCCAGCCTAGGTTAATTTTGTTGATCTTTTTCAAAGAACTAACTTTTGGTCTTACTGATGTTCACTATTATTTCTATTCTCTATTTCATTTATTTGTGCTCTAATCTTTATTGTTTTCTTCCTTCTGCTTGCTTTGGTTTTAGTTTTTCCTCTTTTGCTTGTTTCTTAAGGTAGAAGTTTAGGTTATTGATTTGAGATCTTTATTCTTTTAATAAATGTGAACATTATAGCTATAAATTCCCCCTGATTGCTGTTTTAGCTGCATCTCATAAGTTTTAGTATGTTGTGTTTTTGTTTTTACTTATCTCAAAGTATTTTGTAATTTATCTTATGCTTTCTTCTTTGACTCATTTGTTATTTAGGAGAGTTTTGTTTAGTTTTCACATATCTATGAATTTCTCGAATTTCGTTCTGTTATCATGACTTTTAATTTCATCCTGTTGTGGTCAAAGAACATACTTTGTATGATTTAAACGCTTCTAAATTTATTGAGTTTGTTTTATGGCCTCCTAACATAGGCTCTATCCTGGAAAATGTTCCTCGTGCACTTGAGAAGAATGTGTGTTCAGCTGTTGTTGCGTGGCGTGCTCTATCGATGTCTGCTACGTTTAGCTGGTTTATAGCGTTTCAAGTCTTCTGCTTCCTTGTTGATCTTCTGCCTAGTTGTTCTATCCATTATTGAAAGTAGATTATTGAAGTTTCCAAATATTATTATTGAATTGTCTATTTCTCCCTTTAATTTATGTATATTACTTCATGTTTTGGGAGCTCTGTTATTAGGTGCCTTATGTTCATAATTGTTTTGTCTTCCTGATGGATTGACCCTTTAATTATTATGTCCTTTTTGTCTCTAGTAACAAATTTTCTTTTTGAGTCTATTTTGTCTCATACTAGTACAGCCACTCCAGCTCTCTTTTGGATACTGTTTGTATGGTGTATATCTTTCTATCCTTTCACTTTCAACTTACTTGCATCTTTGAATCTAGTGTGTCTCTTGTTGATGGTATATAGTTATATCATATTTGCATCATTCTACCATTCTCTACCTTTTGACCAGAGAGAGACACACATTCTTATTAGAGGAATGATATCATCATTTATTTCATAAACTGTACATTCATTGCTTTATTACAAATTAGGTAATGAGAACTAGTGTATTGCTTTATCTCCTTTTTGTAATTTATAAAAATGGATTATTTATATTAGATCTATATTATTTTAATTATGACTACTTTTCATAGTCTGTCTTACAAGATTCATTTTGTAACATTTCTCAAATGTTTTTGTAATATTTCTTTCAATGTTATTTACACCTTTATTTGAATTGGAAAAATAAAGGCAGAATTTTTCTGAAAGGAAATGTAATTTGGCTTTTTGGTTTGCCCATATGGTATATGATGGACATTTTCCATAAATTAAGCTAAATACAGTAGTCCCTCTTATCTGCGGTTTTGCTTTCCTTGGTTTTGGTTACCTGCGATCAACCACTGTCTGAAAATATTAAATGGAAAATTCTATAAATAAAGAACTCAGAAGTTTTAAATTAGGCATCATTCTGAGCAGCCTGATGAAATCTCACTCTGGCCTGCTCCTCCTGCCCAGGATGTGAATCATCCCTTTGTCCAGCATATCCATGTTGTATACACTACCCACCTGTCAGTCACTTAATACTCCTCTCAGTTACCAGATCAACTGTCATGGTATTGCAGTGCTTGTGTTCAAGTAACCCTTATTTTACTTAATAATGGCCTGCAAGCACAAGAGTAGTGATACTGGCAATTCAAATATGCCCAAGAGAAACCATAAAGTGCTTCCTTTAAATGAAGAGGTGAAAGTTCTCGACTTAATAAGGAAAGAAAAAATGGTAACTTTTATTATTGTTATAATTGTATATTGTTATATTGTTATAATTGTTTTATTTTATTATTGGTTATTGTTGTTAATCTCTTACTGTGCCTAATTTATAAGTTAAACTTTATGATAGGTATCTATGTATAGGAAAAAACATACTATTTACAGTTTGGTACTCTCTGCGGTTTCAGGCATCTCCTCGGGATTTTGGAACTTATCTCTCACAAATAAGAGGGGACTACTGCATGCAGCTCCACAGTTTTGTTTCATATATATGTATACAATCCAGAGAGGAAGTATATGCAAATGTGTTTAAAGAGAAAAAGGAAATGTCTAAAATTTCCAAATTTTACAAAACAACTTTTTCATATACTTTTGAATAGCTGGTCAGGGGTATTAATTATTAAAATATTCAAATTTCTTTGGATACATTTAAAATGATATAGTAATTATATTTAAAGTGGCAGTATTAAATATATGTTGAAAATTACATCCTTTGCCATAATTTCAACTTATGATAAATTATTTTAGATGACTTAAAATGTACAAGAAACCTAAAACCATTCAACTATACAAGATATTTTTTAAATGTTCAAAATTTCTTGGGGTGATCATTGAAGAAAAATGTTTGAATACTAGGCCAAAGAACAGAGGCACTCCAAATTCATCATCTCTAGTTGCCTTATTTACTGCTACATTCCCAATGCCAGTCACGTCCCCATGATTGAATGAATGAATGAATGAATGTCCCAAATGGTGACATTACAAATTACATGCTCACTGCCTAAAGAAAGGACAACCCTGGAGGCACACTGTTCTCTATCTAGATTAGGTAATTTTTAGTTGGTAGTAGAGGTCCTGATGGAAATGGGGAAAGGATACCTACACTCCTGACTCGAGAAGACGACCCTAGGTGACTAGCTTTACTTGTGTCAGACCCCAGAAATATGAGAGAAAGTTTGAGAACTAGACTTAAGGGAGCTCAACAAAGTATTATGAGCCATGCATAGCAATTACTTTGAATTCTATAAGCATTTTTTGAGCATCTACTTCCTGTCTGGTAGTCTCCTAGGCACTGTACATGCAAAGATCAAGAAGACAGGGTACATGGGGAATAAGCTTAAACAAAGAAGTCTAATGAAGCAGGATAAATGCTATAAGAGGAATATACTGTTATAGATTGAATTCTTTGAAATTACTGTTATTTGACCATTTTTGACCTACCAAAAACTGTTGATTCATATGATTCAACCTACATGGTATGTGTACATCCAGATGAAAGAATAGTGAATCCTGAGGGGTTCATTAGTCAGGGAAAGTGACGTGCAGTCAGTGGCATTCACACTGGACATTGAAGGGTGAGGAAGAAGGTGAGATTTGGATAGCTGGTAGATAGGACATTTGAGGTAGCAGGATCGACAAGGGCAAAAGTGGAGAGGAATAGAAGGTACATGTGTGTTCTAGAAGGTACATTGAGTTTTCTTTATGTTGACATCTGAGAAGAGTGGATAAGAGTAGAAAGGAGCCTGAGACTTGTGTTAAGAGTCCTGTAGGCCTAAGAAGATGCTATTGAGTCGGCAATGGGGAGCCACTGAAGGTTTACTAGAGGAAGTGTTGTGAACAGATAAAAACTTTAGCTGAACTCAGGTGGCTGAATGGAGAATGGGTGGTGGGTAGAGAGGTTGGGACTGGAGTTCACTGATGTGCTCCTGCAACAGACAAGATGAATGCAGTAGGTACGTATAGGGGTCAAGAAGTGAGGCATATTTCTCTGATAGAATTGTCATGGTTTGGTCAATGGTTAGGTTGAGGTGTTAATTGGAAGAGGTGCAGGTTCAGGAGTGGGGGAAAGGAGCAAGCTATGTGGAGATATCCTGCAGTGAGAGTAGAGTTCTGGGCTATGGGTCTTAGCTTTGTTGGTGCACAGTTGATAGCTAAAGCCATGAAAGTAGATGCAATTATCAGGGAAATTTGCCTAGGCAGAGCAGGAAAACAGAGTAAGGGCAAAAGGACAGAGCAGGGGTTAGGGATTACTCTGTGCCCTGTGCTTTACCACATTTTCTCTCCATCATAATGCTCGTTTACCTAAGTGTCCATCCTTTACAAGTCTGTGAGACCTCAAAAGGTAGGAACTACATCACATCCATTCTTTGGCATCCTCAAAGCTCATGCATAATCTAGGGGTAGCCACTTAAAAAATCCTTGCTGGGTCATATCCTAACTTTTATCGAATGCTTTCTAAGTTCTAGCATTGTTCTAAGTGCCATCCAGGTGCCCTTCCATGTCATATTTTACAGATGAGGAAATTGAAGCATGAATTTGCTCAAGGTCACAGTTAGTGAGTGGGAGCCTGGTTTTAAACTGAGGAAGTCTAATACCAGAGGCATCCAATGCCCATGCTATGGAAGGAGTAGAGTCAGAGTGACATCCATTTTCAGCTTAGAATTGTTTTCATAGACATCTCTAACATCCTCAAATTAACTTTGTGAGATGGAGGGAGGGGGCAATATTATTATTGAGTAAATGAAAGCTCAAATTAAGTAAATTCATGAGGAAACAGAGCTAGTAAATGGAAAAACCAATCAAATCCAACGTCTTCTGAGTTACAACCTGTGTTCTGTTTCAGTCTTGCTTCCTGTGAGTCCAGTTGTCTGCCCTATCACTCAAGAAGATAGAAAGCCCTGGAAGGTGGCTGGGGAAGAATATGGAGACAGTGGCTGTGGAAAAAGCAAGAAGACTTTTTGACCAGCAGGACATATTTCCTTGTGGGAATTAGGAACTTTGTTCTGGTAAGACTATAAGATGTCTGTAGGTCACACTTACTTGTGAATGCTGACATTGTCTCTTTTATTAATAATTACAAATCCTCACAATTTAGGTACAACCCACCTGTAAAAAATGATTGGTTTGTTGGTTTTAAATGTAAACAAAAGATAATCTATTGACTTGTTATTTATTCATCCTTGTTGGGGATGTAACCTGGAATCCATCCTTAGGCCTAATGTCGGGATCCCTCTGTAGTCTAAAGGCCTCAGCCTCTTTAGGGCCTTCTGTAGTTCATTTACAAAAGGATAACATTTGCCCTCTTAATAGGAGAATGAAAAAGAGAACGATGGATACTGAATTTCTTTAGGCATTTGTTTAACCTATTCCCCTACCACACATAGACTCTCCTTTGATGGCTGGTCTCCTTAGATAGGAAAGACTCACAAAGGATTTCAAAGGAACTGAAAATGAGATTGATAATAAGCTTTATACTTGTGTTCAGCTCATTCCAGTTTGGAAAAAAATGTCCTGGTGCGTCTGACAGATACTGCCTTGTTTGAATTTTATGAATCTTAGGCAAAGATTGTCCTACCATTTCTCTGACATTATACAAGATTGGTTATCTTGCCAAGTTTCACCATTGCTAATATAGACTCTGAAGCAACAAATATCACAGAGAATTCATAGATGAGAAATCTCCTGTTTTGTAAGTTAAGTCTAGACATGTTTATTTATACAGAACATGAAAGTATATCTTCAATGTGGCCAATATATTTAGTCCCTTAACTTCTAAAATAAGGAATGCTGTGGTAATTAAAACAGAAACACCTAAATTCTTCCTGTTTGTGGAAGGATTGAATGAAGGAAGGGAATTCAGTAGTTTTTGTCTATAATATTAGCTAACACATAATATTAACTATTAACAATTTGTAATATTAAATATTAGCATTAATCTAGTATTCTCTACATGCAAGGCACTGTTCTAAACGTTTAGTTCACTTTACACCTCTATGAGAAATACTATTATTGTCCTCATTTTACAGATGAGTGCACTGGGGCACAGGAGTGTTAAGCAGCTTGCCTAAAACCACGGAGCTAATAGTAAACAGAATCCCAGAGCTCCCGGTCTCAATCCACTGTGCTAAAATTGTGGTGAGTCTCATGGCTTCGTCTCCACTAAACTGGAAAAGACTTCCAAGAAGTGGTGGGACTTTAGAAAATCTTTGAAAGGTAGGAGTAAATTTAGAAAAATGGAAATCTAGAGAATTTGCAATGTTTGTAAATGAACTCACTCTTGAGTAGCTTTGAAGGATTCTTCTTCCACTTATCTCAGACCTTTGAGTCTCTGAAATCTGGAGTAGTCTCTCTATGCAACAGAGGCATGACCATGTCTTAGGTCTATTAGAAGCAGATGATTTTGTGTTAGGATGGCTTTCCTGTTGATCTTACTGAAATCAGGGGTCATAGATTCCCACTGATTCATTCATGCCCACTGATGGTACCCTTCCTCTCAGTCAAACACCATAAAAAAGGATACCATTCCTTTTTCTTCTCTTTCTCCCTTCCTTCATTCTCTAAGTCAATGAAATTAGTTAAACTAACCAGGCTCTGACAGGTGCTGATGATTAAACAAATACATATGTAAATAAATAAGACAACATTCCTGGCCTTTAAGAAGACTCAAAAACGGTTTTCAAAATGGCCATCTGATCATAGTATAAGCAGGAACAAAACAGGGAATGGAGACTTCAACCTGGGGCATTGGGAAAGACTTCATAGTAGAGGTTAGTACTTGAACTGTGTCCTAAAAGATGTGTAGGTGGGGCCAGGGTGGTCAGAACAAAATAAGAACATTCCAGGAAGAGGGAACATCAAGAGCAGCAAAGTCTTGGAGGAGAAGGTAAACAGTAGGATGTTGGAGGAAGTGGAGAGAAGGTTGCCTGGATCAGGGAGGGTGTGAGGTGAGGCCATTAGAACAAGGTTAGAGAAGTAGGCCAAGGCTAGACTGAGTGAGACAAAGAGAAAATCCACCTCCAGGACCTAAACCCAACACAGCGCCTATTTATGGTGATTATATTTTAAAAATTTCTTGTAGTTCATCACATATTATCTGACCTTCAGGGCTTCAGGGATACTGGACACTTTTGCTGACATATTCCATGGTGTCTTCTATAGGTCTTGGCAAAATTAACATATTGTCTTCTATGATGAGAGATAGCTAGTAAGAACTGAGGATCAGTTTGATCTTTGATATAAAATTTAAGGAATGTTTTTTTCATAATCACACCAGAACTTTTATACAGCACCTATTTTTCAGTTCTAATTTAATGAAACAGTATGTTACCGAGATTCAGTATTAATGACTATCATTATTTCATTCCAAATATTTCCATCCAAGTATTTTTTTAAACAAATTCATAGTATTTACTATATGCCAGGCATTGTTCTAAGCATTTTGCAAATATTAAATCCTCTGATGCTCAAACAACACACTGAGAGGTAAGTACTACCATTGTCCCTATTTTAAAAATGAGGAAACAGTAGTTGAGTCACTTGCCCAAAGTTAACAGAAGTGGTAAGCGGTGGAGTTGGAGATCAAATGCAAGTATCTCACTCTAGTGATGCTAAACCATCTCTTTGTTCCTAATTATCATTCATCTACTCCCCCAATTTACTTTTTTTCCCAAACTAAAGTACTGGACAGATTTTGAAATTCTTTTGACCGCTTTGGTATTCCACTAAATTATACAAATATAACTCAATTCAAATATTACATGCCTATGTAGTATATGTGATATTTATTATAGATCTGTAGTTCTCAACCCTGGCTGCATGTTAGAATCACCCAGGGAGCTTTTTAAAAAATTGTTATTGGCCTGAGCCCCGCCTCCGGAGATTCAGATTTAATTGGTTTGGGTGAAGCCTGGACTTTAGTATTTTCAAAACTTCCCAGGTGATTCTAATATCCATCCAGGGTTGAGAACCACTGATATAGATCGATCATGTATTGATTACTTCAGGCACTGAGCTACACATTTTACACATGTTATTACTGTTTCACATGACAACCTGATTGGATAGGTATTATAATTATCTGTGTTTTAGAGTTGAGGAAATTGAAGAACCAAGAGGTTATATAATTTGCCCAAGATCACACAGCTTATAAATAGTGGAGATAGGATGTGTGAGGTGAAACCACATTTTCTTAACCATAAGCACTATGCATCTCACAGAACAAAAGTTAATTAATCTACTGTGTCATAAACTAATTGATCACCATTCTGTAATACATTTATTTTATATGTAGGTGCTATGAAATCTGAATAATTTAACTATCTTTCCATTCAGTTTCTTAAAAATACTTTTTAAATTAAATTATGTATATATATATATGTAGATAGATAGATACATACATACACACTTTTTTCTATTATGTACAATATATTTTATATTATACAATATATTATGTATGACATATATTTGTTATATTAGTAGATACATATAGTGTATTATGTATGCTATATATAATATTACATATAGTATATATGTTATATTAGTAGATATATATAGTCGACTTTTCATTGTTTTGTATTTCTACATATAAATTTGTAAAATGTTCTAAATAAGTTTCTAAATACGTGAAAAGCTTATTAAGACTACCGGATATTTTCTATTACTATCTAGAAGAAAATTATAGGAAAGCAATTTTTCCTTCATAGAAAAGATTTGAGTTACACTGTGTGAAGAATGTCCTAACCATAAGCAGTATCCTATAGCTAATATTTTTTAAGCGCATGTTTGCTACATGCCGAATGAAGCATCTGCTACTTTCCATGCATTATTTCATGTAATATATTTAATGCATTAATTCACCTCAGTCCATCTCTATATTAAAAATTCCAACACATTTCTAGCTCGGGACTTCCTTCTGAAATACGAACTTATTTATCCAACTGACTATTTGATAACTCTGCTCGAACATTTCATAGTTATCTCAAATGTAACATCCAAAATGAAACTCTCAAATTTCCTCCATTTTTTTTCTTCCCTCAGTCTCCCCTGTCTCAGTAAATGGCTCCACCATCTATCTTGCTGCTTCAGGCTAGAAACCTAAGACTCATCTTTGATTCTTTCTCTGATCCTCTAAAATGGTCTTTTTGACTTCATCTCCAAAGTGTCTCTCAAATCTGTCCGTTTCTCTCCATTGCCACTGCCACCACTATAGTCTCACTCATCAAAGTATCTTGAAAGGACCATTGTGATAGCCTCCTAACTGGTCTCCTCACTTCCTCTCCTGCCCTCTTAATATCCATTCTCCACCCTGCACCCTGCAGCCAGCGTTGCACTCAGGTGCATCATTTACTTGCTGAAAATCTTTCAGTGGTTTCCTTGCCTTGGCCTACAAGGTCCTGCATGATCTACTGTCAACTCATACCACTTTCCCCCTTACTCATTATGCTCAACCACACAGGTCTTTCAGTTCTTCAAACACTCCAAGAGTTTCCCTGGCCCAGGAGACTCTTCTCCCAGCTGCATGGCTGGCTCCTCATTTTTCAAATTCATCTAAAATGTAATTTCCTCATAGAGACTTTCATGGGCCATCACATCCAAAGTACCTTCCTTCTTAGACCATTCCTTATTTACTTAATAGCACTTATCCCCAATCTATAAGATTAACTTAGTCATTTATTTTATTATCTACTTATTTCATTGAATGTAAGATCCACAATAGACTCATATCTGCCTTTTTTTGACTTATGCCCAGTTGGGTCCTTAGTATATAGCACAGAATATGCTTACAAAAGAATAGTTCAATGGTGAATAAATATAAATTTCATGAATCTTTGATATGTAGTAAAAAATATAGTTATCTCTCACTGAGATTTAAAGAGAAAAAGCTAGATTAGTAGTTCCCAAATTGTAATATATTAATAATGAATTAAGAAAGAAAAAGAAAGAGCCAAAATTATGTTGCCAAAATTTTACTATTATTGTCAGTCTATATTTAAACAACACCAAAAATCCACACTTTTTATGTCCACCATCAGTCTACCTTTACAATCATTTTACATTTTAGACAGAATAGTGGAGAGCTAAAGGCATTCTAGACCAAAGACACTATAAAGGCATAGAGATGGAAATAGTATGGTGACTTTGAGCAAAATCAGTAAGATGGTTGGAAGAGAGTGACAAATAAAGAATTTGATAAATTTAGATGATGGAGAATTTTATATACTTTGCAACAGCATTTGGACTTTATCCTACAGGAGGTAGGGAGCTCTATTGGATAAAAGAGGTTTAACCAGAAAAATAACATGGTTCAATTTGCATTTAAAAACTATCATCTTGTGGCCAATATAGCAAATGGCTACATTTGCTTGGAGAGAGATGAGACACAAATTGGGGAATCCAGTTAGAAGGCTGTTCTAATAACCTACGAGCAAGATGGTGGATCAGGCTTGAAATGGTGTCACGACTGCCATTGTTAGGCAATGGCAGCAAAGCTGAAGGGCAAGGAACAGATCTTTGCTATTAGCTCTTTTTGGAATGATTTCTGTGAGACTCCAACAGAGTCTTGTTTCCAGTTTTGTCTTGTATCGTCTACCTGTGGACTTTAGAATGAATTTCCGTATTATTTATGTTTTGGCCTCATAGCTAACATTTTTTATGAATATATTTTTTTAAAAACTACTAAGCTTTAGAGCCTTCATTGTAAAGATTAAAACAAGAAATGGATGTGAGAGCACTTTGCAAAGTACTATACAAATGGAAACTATTTTTATTACCAGTAAGTCACTTTAGATTACAAAGAGGAAAATCACTGTCCCACATGTAAGCTCCCATCAGCAAACTCCCCAGGCAGAATGAATCACTCTTATAACCATAGCACTTTTTTTGTGCTTCTATCATAACACCTCCATTAATTATAAATTATTTATGTGTTTTTTTTTTTTTCCTGGTAGTGCATAAATCCTTTACAGATAAAGACAGTCTTATGAATCTTTGCAACATGGTTTGTGGTAGACAGTAAGTGCTCAGTATATGCTAATTGCATGCATGAATGAATGATTAGTTCCCAGGAAAGAATAAAGGCAGGGAGCTGATGGGGACTTCAAAAGTAAAATAAATAATAGAATAAACGTGTTAAAGTGAAAAGATTCTGCGTGATTGATGATCGTATGTTTTATTTTAGTCTAGAAGTTATATATATAGATTTACTATACTGCCAA